GTTGTCATAACTCGGGAGGCACAGGTGTGCTACTGGCATGTAGCAGGTAGAGACCAGAGATGCTGCTAGACATCGTACATTGCAGAGCACATTCCCTCACTCATGATGAAGAATTATCTGGCCTCCCTCCCACCCCTCAGATGGGAAATATGCCCAAGGAGAATAAATACAAATCATGGAAAAATTCATACATTTTCACCTTGATTCATTCAACCAATTATTTATTCAGCAAACTTTCACTAAACACCCATTTCATGCTGAGTACCATTCCAGTCACTGGGAATAAATACCACTCATCAGAAATAAAGTCAGTTAAGTAAACAGCCCGTTAAAAAATTGTACTAGATTAGTTAAGAATGAGTTCAGCCCCACGTAACACATTATTAAAATAGGAATTTAACAGAAACATGTCCCTGTAAAAAGAAATACAGCCAGGAGTGATTGCCTGTGCCTATAGTACCAGCTACTTGGGAGGCTGAGGTGGGAAGATGGCTTGAGCCTGGGAGTTAGAGGCTACAGTCAGCTATGAGTATACCACTGCACTCCAGCCTGGGTGACAGAGCAAGAATCTATCTCAATAAAAATAAAAACAAATACAAATTATTTAAAGAGAGAGAGAGAGAGAGAGAAATCCAAGGGTAGACAGTCCTAGACAGTTAAGGCAGCTTCCTATTGTTGCTAAGATGACAGGCCCCTTCCTGCTCTGCCATCCTTGGTGTTTGCCCTCATTTCTGATTTCACAAGATGTCTGTTGCTTCTTAAGGCTCAAATCCAAATTCCAAATGGGCAGAGGAGACAATGTGAAGGACAAAGGCAAAACAATGTATGAACTAGTTAAGCCTGCTTCTGCTTTAAATGGAGACAATGACTTTCTGGAAATTCGACCCAGTAGGGTTCCATTACATCTCATTGACTCTAACTGGGCCATATGACCACACATAACTGCAAGGGAGCCTGGGAAGGTGAGTATTTTTTTTTAACTGAGCACATTGTTACTCTGAGAAAAATCAGGGCTCTGCTAATAAGGAAAAAATGTAGAATGGGTGTTGGGAAGGGAATTAGCAGCGCCTGCTGTAAGTGTGGTAAGTGCAAGAAAACAGGATGTAGGAAATACTAAAGGAGCACTTCAGAGAAGTTTGTAACACACCCTTGAGCAATCAGGGGAGGCTGAAAAAATGAGGAAGAGTTACCCTATGTGTATGCAGGGGGGTGTGTGTGTCTGTGTGTGTGTATGTGTGTGTGTGTGTGTGTGTGTGTGTGTGTGTTTAAGAGCAGTGGGATGGGCGTGTGGTTAGTACTAAGGTGATCCAAGCGGGGGAGCCACACGTACAAAAGGCTGGAATGGGAGGAGCAAGGAGTTGTGAAAGATGACATAAGATGGGCAGGTAGGGTAGTGCAGACCCTACTGTTGAGTTTGGCTATTATCCTGAGGGCAATGGGGGCCTTTCATAGGTTTAGAGCAGGGAAACACACCATTATAACATCTAGTTTAAAAGATCACTCCAATTACAACGTTGAATACCCACTGTACAAGGGGCAAGACAGCACAAGGAGGCCAGGACAGTGTCCCTGAAGACAGAAAGATTGGGTGTTCATCTTTGTAAAATATAAGCATGCTTCCCCACCCTCAGCCATTCCACAGGGGTGACAATTGGAAGGCTTTGTCAGACACAGAATGTGCTACCTAAATGTGCTATATGGAAGAGTTATAGAAAATCCCCATAGAGATATGTTCCCGAATCATGCAGTGACTTCTATTTTCTTCAGTCCTTGAAGATACAACTTTCTTGAGCTAAAGGTTTTTCTCCCCAGAAATCCATCATTTAACTGTTGATCACTCATCCCAGTGGGCAAGGTTTGTTCATTATAAGGTCAAATGACTCCTCTCTGTCCCCAAGCATCTGCCGACTTTGACTGCATTTCCTCAAGAATTTCCCTGCAAGTACATTAACGATTCTTAACTAAATGCAAGTTTTGCATCTACGTCTAACTGGAGGCTCTCTCATTGATTCTCTGGAGTAAGCCCCATACTATCACTTGTGTGTCTCTGATATCATTATGAGTCACAACTCTTCTCAATAATACGCAATGGTAGAAAGAGACTGTGGATGAATAAACATAGCTTGCTGAACACATTCAACTCAAAATAACATGGGAGAATACTCATAGGACAAAAGCTTTTACTGTATGATACACACAGCAGCAACACTTATCAGGAAATCATATACTGCTACCTGCCAAACACTGTTGGATGAGAGCATGTGATATAGCATGCAGATTATAAGGAAGAATGTATTTATAGTCTAACAATATACTATGAAGGAAGGCTATATATTAATATATTTTTAAAATACTTCCCAAAAGTAACCCTATAAAAATATGAGCTTGTGGGCAAATAACAGGGCATGTTCCTAAAGGAATGTGCTTATTCATCAGGAGATTTTTGGACCAATAATATACCACAAAGATGAATGATTGGGAAAATAGCTTCATGGTTTAGTTCTGAGTATGTATAAACTATAGGTCCAAAGTAAAATTAAGAAATGTATTACAAATACTCATTTTGCAAAGCATCTCTCATATCTGAGCATAGAGTAAAGATGTTCAGAAATCCAAACACTGGAAGCATTTACCTGAATTGCTGAATAATTCAATATCAAAATATTCAAAATATTGAATTATTTTAAAAGTTTCATTAAACAATTCAGGTAGATTGTGCCATTGCAGCCCAGCCTGGGCAACAAGAATGAAACTCCATCTCAAAAAAATTCAGTATTTTATGATTTAATATTTTTCCAAACCGCCTTATTGAAATATAATTTACCTACCATAAAACCAATTTATTACCCCCACAATTTCCGCCATTTCTATGTGCACTTAATATTTTCTTCCCCAGACCTAGGCAACCACTGTTCTCTACTAAATGTGTCTTTTCTGAACACTTCATATAAATAGAATTGTACAACATCTGATCTTTTGCATCTGGTTTCTTTCACTTAGCAAAATGTGTTTGAGGATTATTCCTGTTGTAGCATGTATAGGCTCCTTTTAGTTTCTCAATAGTATTCCATCACACGGATATACCACATTTCACTTATCCATTTACCCAGATGGACATTTGAATTTTTCCTGTTTGGGGATGTTATGAATAATGCTGTTATGTGTACCTGATTTTGTGTGGACATATGTTTTCATTCCTTTTGAGTATATTCCTATGAGTAGAATTGCTGGGTGATATAGTAAATTATTTTCAACTTTTTAAGAAACTCCCAAACTATGTTCCCAAGAGGATTTACCATTCTACATTCCCATCAGCAGTGTATGATACTTTAGCTTCTCCACATATTACTAACATTTAGCATTGTCTGACTTTTTGATTGTAGCCATTCTAGGGATGCGTTTTAATTTGAATTTTGATAATGATTAAGATGTTGAACATCTTTTTATATTTTACCTATTTTTCTTTGTTGACTGTGCATTCAAATTGTTTTCCATTTGTCTTATTATTGAATAGAGTTCTTTATATATTTTGTAAACAAGTCCTTTATCAGATATATGATTCGTAAACATTTTATCTCAGTCTGTGGCTTGTCTTTTCATTTTCCTAATGGTGTCCTCTGAAACACAAACATTTTAAATTTTGATTAAACCCCATTCATGAATTTCTTTTGGCAGTTGTGTGCTTAGTTTTATATTTAAGACATTGTTTTGCTTTTTTAAAAAAATCTAGCTTGACAGTGTCTGCTTCTTTATTAGGAATTTAGATCATTCCTAGTTAAAGTGATTTACTGATATGGCTAGTTTTACATTTGCCACTGTATTTGCTTTGTGTATGTTTATTTTTTCATTCCTCTGGTTTTCCTTGACAGCCTTCTGTTGAACTAAATAAATGCTTTCTCATGTATCATTTTAATTCTTCTGTTAACTATTTGTTAACTATTTCAATTTTTTTTTGTTATCTTCTTAGTGGCTGCTTTAGAGACTACAACATGAATCTTAACTTATTGCAATCTATTTCAGATTAATACAACCTAATTCTATTTCTTTCTCCTTTTTTTTTTTTTTTTTTTTTTTTTTTTTTTGAGACAGAGTCTTGCTCTGTCACACATGCTGTAATGCAATGGCGTGATCCCAGCTCACTGCAACCTCCACCTCCCGAGTTCAAGTGATCTTCCTGCCTCAGCATCCCAAGTAATTGGGACTATAGGAGCATGCCACCACACGTGGCTAATTTTTTGTATTCTTAGTGGAGACAGGGTTTCACTGTGTTAGCTAGGATGGTCTCGATCTCCTGACTTTGTGATCTGCCTGCCTTGGCCTCCCAAAGTGCTGGGATTACAGGTGTGGGCCTCCACACCTGGCCCAATACAACCTAATTCTAATAAAATATACAAACTTTGCTCCAGCATAATAGCTTCATTTCCTTCTCCTTGAGTGTGTTCAAATTACTGTTTTATCCTCATTTCAAAGAGATTGGAATATATAAAATATATATAAATATATATTTGTAAAGTTTCTTATATTAGTATATATATATCATTTCTGGTGCTTTATATGTCTTCTGTGGATTCAAGTTGTGTCTAGTGTCCTGTTCTTTCAACCTGAAGGATTCCTTTAGTATTTATTGACAGTTGGTTCTGCTAACAATAAATTCTCTTAACCTTTTTTATTTAGGAATGTCTTTATTGCCTTTATTTTTGAAGGGTAGTTTTTCTGGATATAAATTCTTGGATTTACAGTGGGGTATTTTTTCTTTCCTTTTAGCACTCTGACTAAGCCATCCCCCTGCCTTCCGGCTGCCATTCTTTCAGATGAGATGCCAGTCATCAATCACATTGGTGTTCCCATGTATGTAATAAGTCATTTTCCTCTTGTTATTCTTAAGTTTTTCTGCCTTTCACTTTCAAGAGTTTAGTTGTACTGTCTGGATGACAATCTTGTCTTCATTCTATTTGGGATTTGTTATCAGGTTAGATGTGAATTTTTAAAATCAAATTTGTGTGCTTACTTCAGTAGCACATACACTACAATTTGGAACAATACAGGGAAGATTAGCATGGCCCTTATGCAAGGATAACACACAAATTTATGAAGTGTTCCATATTCTCCTGAGGCAGGAGAATCCTTGATCCCAGGAGGCAGAGGTTACAGTGAGCCAAGATCATGCCAGTGGACTCCAACCTGGGTAATAGAGTGAGACTCTCAAAAAAAAAAAAAAGAAAGAAAGAAAGAAAGAAAGAAACACACAGACTACAGGCCAATATCTCTGATGAATATTGATGCAGAAATCCTCAACAAAATACTAGCAAACTGTATTCAACAATATGTTAGAAAGATCATTGAGGGCCAGGCTCAGTGGCTCACACCTGTAATCTCAGCACTTTGGGAGGCCTAGCTGGGTGGATCGCCTGAGTTCAGGAATTCAAGACCAGCCTGGCCAACTTGGTGAAACCCTGTCTCTACTAAAAATGCAAAAATTAGCTGGGTGTGGTGGCAGGCGCCTGTAATCCCAGCTACTCGGGAGGCTGAGGTAGGAAAATTGCTTGAACCTGGGAGGCAGAGGTTGCAGTCAGCAGAGATTGGGTCACTGCACTCCAACCTGGGTGACAAAGTGAGACTCCATCTCAGAAAGAAAAGAAAAGAAAAAGATCATTTATCAGCCAGGCACAGTGGCTCATGCCTGTAATCCCAGTACTCTGGAAGGCAGAGGTGGGTGGATCACCTGAGGTCGGGTATTTGAGACCAGCCTGACCAACATGGAGAAACCCCGTCTCTACTAAAAATACAAAATTAGCCGGGGTGTGGTGGCACATGCCTGTAATCTTAGCTACTTGGGAGGCTGAGGCAGAAGTACTTGAACCCGGGAGGCGAAGGTTGTGGTGAGCAGACACCACACCATTGCACTCCAATCTGGTCAACAAGAGCAAAACTCCAACTCAAAAAAAAAAAGAAAGAAAGAAAGATTATTCATCAAGACCAAGTGGAATTTATCCCTGGGATGCAAGGAGGGTGGTTCAACATGCTGAAATCAATCAATGTGATATATTATATCAAGAAAATGAAGGCTAAAAACCATGTGATGATTTCAATTGATGCTGAAAAGGCATTTGATAAAAATTCAACATCCCTTCCTGATAAAAACCCTCAAAAAACTGGGGATAGAAGAAACATACCTCAACATAATCAAAGCCGTATATGACAGACCTCACAGCTGGTATCATACTGAATGGGCAAAAACTGAAAGTCTCCTCTAAGATCTGGAGTGTGGCAAGGATGGCCACTGCCACCACTGTTAATCAACATAGTACTGATAGTCTGAGCTAGAGCAATCAGACAAGAGAAGGGCATCAAGGGCATCCAAACCGGAAAGGAAGAAGTAAAATGACCCATGTTTGTAGATGATATAATCCTCTATTTGGAAAAAACTAAAGACACCACAGAAAATCTATTAGAACTGTTAAACACATTTAGTAAAGTTGCAGGATACAAAGTCAACCTACAAAAATTCAGTAGCGTTTGTATATACCAGCAGTGAACAATGTGAAGAAGAAATTTAAAAAGTAATCCCATTTACAATAGCCACACATAAAAGTAAATACCTAGAGATTAACCAAAGTAAAAGGTCTCTGTAGTGAAAACCACACTGATGAAAGAATTGAAGAGGACACTAAAAACTGAAAAAAAAATTCCAAGTTAATGGATTGGAAGAATCAATAGACAAGATTTGAAAGCAACCTAAGTATTCATCAACAGATAGGTGGATAAACAAAACATGGTACATCTGCATAATAGTACATCTACTATTCAGCCATAAAAAGAATGAGATCTAGTCATGTGCAACAACATGGATGGAAATGGAGATCATTATATTAAGTGAAGTAAGCCAGGCACAGAAAAACAAACATTGTATGTTATTTATTTATTTGTGGGACCTAAAATCAAAACAACTGAACTCACGGACATGAAGAACAGAAGGATGGTTGTTACCAGAGGCTGGGAAGGGTAGTGCAAGGCTGGAGCAAGAGGTGGGGATGGTTAATGGGTGAAAAAAAAAAAAAGAAAAAAATAGTATTTGATGGTACAATAGGCTGACTATAGTCAATAATAATTTAATCGGTCAGGAACGGTTGCTCATACCTGTAATCCCAGCACTTTGGGAGACCAAGGCAGGCAGATCTCTTGAGCCCAGGAGTTCAAGACCAACCTGGCCAACATGGAGAAACCTCATCTCTTCAAAAACTACAAAAAGTAATAGGGTGTGGTTGCATGTGCCTGTGGTCTCAGCTCCATGAGAAGCTGAGGTGGGAGAATCACTTGAGCCTGGGTGAAAGAGGTTACAGTGAACCAAAATTTACCACTACCCTTCAGTTTGCATGACAGAGCAAAACCTTGCCTCATAATAATAAAATAATAACTTAATTGTATATTTTTTAAATAACTTAAAGAATTTAATTGAATTGTTTGTAACTCAAAGGATAAATGCTTGGAAGGATGCATACCCCATCTTCCATGATGTGCTTATTTCATTTTGCATGCCTGTATCAAAACATTTCATGTACCCATAAACATCTACTATGTACACACAAAAATTTTAAAAATAAAAAAATCAATTTTGGCAAGTTTTCAGTCATGACTCATTCAAATATGTCTTCTAACCCCTTCTCTATATTCTTTATTTTTGGACTTTCATTAATTTCATTCTAAATATATGTCAGCATATTTAATGTTCCATGTTCTCTGAGGCTCTGTTCATATTTTCTTTATTCTTGTTTTCTCTCATTAGATAATTTTTATTGATCTACTTTTAAGTTCACTGATCCTTTCTTCTGACATCTTGAATCTGCTGTTGAGCCCCTCCAATGAATTATTCATTTTATTTAGTACATTCAACATGAGAATTTTCATGTGGCTCTTTTTGGTAATTTCTATCCCATGATTGAGACTCCCTATTTGTGGATTCATTGATGTCATATTTTCCTTTAATTCTTTAAACATGGTCTCCTTTAGTTCTCTGAATGTATTTATAATGGCTTCTTTGAAATTTTTGTGTGCTAAAACTAACCTCTGGGAACATTGAGAGACAGTTTTCTATTAACTGTGTTTCCTTCCAAAAATATTTTCCTGTTTCTTCGCATGTCCCATATTTTGTTAAAAGGTGACCATTTTAGATAACAGGTGGTAACAACTCTGGATTCTGATTTTTCCCTCTCTGATGGAGTACAGTGGTGCAAGCTCAGCTCACTGCAACCTCTGCCTCCGAGGTTCAAACAATTCTCCTGCCTCAGCCTCCTAAGTATCTGGGAATACAGATGAGCACCAACATGCCCAGCTAAATTTTGTATTTTTTTTTTTTAGTAGAGACAGGGTTTCACCATGTTAACCAGATGGTCTCAACCTCCTAACCTCATGACCCACCCGCCTCAGCCTCCCAAAGTGCTGGGATTACAGGCATGAGCCACCTCACCCAGCCTATTGTTGCTGTTTGGTCTATTTTAGTTACTTAAAAACTTTCCTTGGATAAATCTGTGGATCTGTCTCCTGAGCGCAGTGTATAGTCACAGATGTCTTTGCTCAGGTTTCTGAGTTGCTCCTATATGAGCATAGCTTAGTAGTCAGCTAATAATTGGAAAGAGATTATGCTCAAATGTCTGAAACAATACATCTACTATCATCTGATTATGGTAGAGAGTAAGAGTCGACATTCAAAGTTTAGGCTATTCTCAAATCTGTTTCTACTTTTGCTTCCTGCTAGGCCTTTTTGAGTCTATGGATATGGGCAAAGTTTCAGGGTTGGCAAGGAGTCCATGAATAGCTTAGGCTCTCTCCTGTTTCTGCTGTGAATGTGCACAGCCTCAGCCATGAACTCTTACCCTGAATATGAATGAAAACTCAGGCTGGTAGAGCTATTGGCCCTCTCCCACTTGCTGCCCACCAAGTCGTCACTTTTACAAATAACGCCACTGCATCATTCAGTGTTCCACATCAAGCAGGCCTCTGTGATGGCCAGTTTTATGTGTCAATTTGACTTGGTCATGGGATGCCCAGATTTCTGGTAAAATATACTTCAAGGTATGTCTATGAGGGTCTTTCTGGGAAAGATTAGCATCTGAATTGGTGAAGTGAGTAGAGGAAATAACTCTCCCCAAAGTAGTGGGTGTCATCCAATCCACCAAGGGCCTGAATAGAACAAAAAGGCAAAAGAAGATTGAATTTTACTCTATCTGACAGCTTGAGCTGAGACATCATTATCTCCTGCCCACAGTGCTCCTGGTTCTCAGACCTTCAGATGCTAACCGGTATCTACATCATTCAGCCATGGCTCTCAGGACTTCAAGTTGTATCACTGACTTCCCTGGGTCTGGAGCTTGCAGATAGCAAATTATAAAACTTCCTAACCTCTATACTTGTGTAAGCCAGCTCCTTATCATAAATCTCATTCTAGATATATACTGATAACCAAATATACAAAAATAACCAATAGAATATGGCTGCGTGTGTGTGTGTGTGTGTCTGTTCCTCTGAAATGCTAACTTATACAGCCTCCCTTTGACTGTAGCAGCACATGCCAACCCAACTGAGCAGAGAAGGGGAACAACTCTAGTCCAGACCGGAACACCACAGACTTCCACTGTTCCTACCTGAATTTCTGCAGTTGTCTAAGCATGAATGCTTCTCAGATTGTTGTATTCCATTCATTAACTTCCAGAACACTGAAGAGGTTGTTTTTGTCAATTTTTCCTAGCTTTATAGATGTTTTTTGGAGGAAAGAATTAACTGACTTCCTGAAAGTCCTGCCAATAATTCAATTTTAAAATTGCACCATTATAATTTCCACACAGAGCACAGCAATGGAATATTTGCAAAGCCATGAATGCCTAGTGGGAGAGGTCTTGATAGAGTGATCCATCAACTAGGATGGAATGGGAGAGGTCAAAATGGCTGATCACATTTGCTTTACTATCAGTCCCACACATAATTTATAAGTCAAAAGAGTTGCTGTAAGTCATTTATATGTCTTGGCAGGTGACAACTGTTTTAAAGCACTGAACTGTAATTCTGCCTATAAATGTGTGTATGTGTTTATATCAAGGCATATACACATATATCA